TTCCACTAGCTTGCAACCAACTGGACGGGATTACTAGAAACATTGGATGTAGGTATATGGTGAAACCTTTCCATTATTAACATTTTATGTACTTTTGAATAGATGACATATTATAATCTGTTAACTGTATTGCTTCCATTTGAATAATGATTTATTGTTGACATTTGTAATTGATTATGATTCAAGTTGAAAAGAGGTTTTTCCCACGCGAGAAGAGGTAGTAAAATTGTTTTCACTCCCGCGGGTTTTCCCTTCAATTAATAAAAAAAAATGATAAAACGCATCATAATTCCGTCCTTTTAATTAGCTATGGGTGTTACAAAGATGGTGAGTTCAGCAACCTTATCTTCCAACAGACGCTCTGGACAGCAATTTGAAGATTTATTAAAAAAATCTACATTTACCTGCAACACTGACTGGGTGTATCCTATGGCTTACCTTCCCTGCTAACATCATTCCTAAATTCCCGAAACATTTATGAGGGGTCGTAGAGTTCTCTGCATCTCTCTTAAGTAAATGTTGGACTAAAATACCTTTCCCTACCAGTTGTAAGGATGTGGCTAGGACAATCCTTAACTGTTGGAGCGAGATATGTCTTTATCTGGGAGAGAGTTATTATTTCCTACTTACTATCTGTCCAGTAATAGATATCCGTCTTGCTCTTAATAGTTTTGAACTCGTACCACCTACGTTATTGTGCAACTTGTTCGATGCTAATGCTAATACTAATGCTAAACACATTTCCCAAGATGTATGGATTTGACATCTTATGATGAACCATATGCCTTTTCAGGAAGTTGTGAACTTGTGCCCAATCTCATAATAACAATCAATTATAAGCTTAATTATATTTTCTTTCTTTTTATTATTATATTTTAACCGTCATCCAAAATTTAAGTATTAATTATTTGTCCATCTTTCCTTAGTATGAATATTAATATTAATTTTGTAATGTTTTGAATACATGCGCTTCTTTTAAAGGATACTTTATCTACTAGAAGGGCATAAATTGTTTTGTTCGTAATAGTATCTTCTTATTGTAGAATTGTAAATTAAAATATGCTCAGCCATTTTATATGTAGTGTTTTGTTGTATTTATGATGTTGCCTATGGCTGAGTTTTTGAGTGTCCACTACCAGGGGATCAAAATGGAGCTTTTTTGTGTAGGGGAGAGTGGGGGTACTAAAAAAATAAATAAAGAAGCAGTGTTAGATTTCTAACAATATACGGTACCGTACCGTAAAGGAAGGTAAATAAATTTTAAAGTCATATATAGTAGCATCACTTCGTTTTTGGGTTCATATCCGTTCGAAAAAGAGAGGTTAAATGTGGGTTGTGCTTAGTAGAACGGAAATTTGATCAAAAACCCTATTACCAATTGGAGTTACCAGATGCTCAAGAACCGAAATCTATTATCGACACCAAGCACATATCTTAAAATTGAGTGTCCGTGGCAAGCTTATGGAGGAGTCTTGTCACTACGTTTGTGGAATCTCGTTGCAAATACGCTGTTAAGGGAACTCGCTAACAGTGGCTTTCCTACCTATGGTCGTGTTGACGACTATCTCATTCTGGTAGTTAGTTTGTACATAAGCACTTTATGTGATGTAGTTCAGAACGCTCTTACCGTAGTTAAACGTTGCACCAATATGGTGAGTCTTTTCTAATTTGAACAAAACATCTATTGTCTTATTTTCTGAGTCTTCTGGCTCTGATACCGATGTGAGTAGTCAAGTCAAATTGAATTCAGAGTTAAAAAGCCATTGCCTTTGGGAAAACCTTGTGAATAAAACTTAAGTACATAAAATGGATTTAAACAACTGTTTTGCGACCAATACTGGCTGTAGATGTCTGTGGTGAGAGAAAGGAGAGCTAAGAAAAGTTCAGACAAAATTGAGCTATCTGCAATGAATGTACTTCATGGCTTTGTCTGGAGCGTTATTTACAACTCCTACTGCCGCACTCGAAGCTTTATTCGATATGGCACGGCTACACATATACATTACCCGTCATAAGTATGGAGTTACATAAATGCCCCGTAACGTGGGTAGATCACCTTTTCATGGTACGTTACGAGATGTAAGATTTACCACCGATTCCTAGTCCTGACCTAGTACCACGCATTATTGGTGTCATTATTTAATGTTGTTGCTAAGGAATCAAATTTCAACTGACAAAGGGGAACATTGGAGGGTGCTCTCACTCTTCGAAGGGTATAAATAGCGAGACCTTTCAAATAGTCTCGTTTCCTTGCGATGACGGAAAAATATGACAACAGTATCAAAAATGAATACTTCATCGTTTCTCAATAGTGATGGAGTATTACGACATGCACTAAACTAAGGACACGGGATATACTATAATAGATCAAATTACTGGTCGCAGTGGTTTCAAGTTCCGAACAAAGGAAAAAAAACATAGAGACGCATAGAAAAGAATTGTTAAACTCATTGGAATATTTCATGAACCCCCAACAAGTTTAGCCTAACCTGAAAATGTTGAAAAAGCTAAAAAACATGCTGAATACGCTTGGAGACGATAAAATTTGCGCCTTTGGAACTTGAAAAATAAAAACTGATTCACTCTAGAAAAACTTGAAATCATTTTGGAAAGTACTGAATCACTTCATAAAAAAACCGGATTCACTTCGGAAAGATCTGAATCACTACAGAGCAAAAAAAAGTTCCCAAAACTACCAGTAAGGCACCAAATCAAATCCTAAAAATTTTAAGACGCAACTTCAACAAACCTAAGCTGAGTTTTTAATAAATTCTCAGCACTTCTAACAAAAGCTTTGAGCTTCCTCAATTTTGGCAAAACTTCTATGAAGTCCCTTCAATTAGTGTCGGTCATTGAGGCCTACTTTTTAGGCTATTGTGGCCTTTAGCCTACCGTGCTTTGAATGAATGGTGAACGAGGCGCCGCGTCAGAATGAGGCGCCGCGTCAAAACGAGGCGCCACGGCTCTAATATTGGCCTATTAATCTAAGATTGGGCCCATCGCTAAAAATCTGCTATTTATCAATTTGATCTACATGAACGCGTCATTGGGACGGTACTAATAAATATTTTTGGTCGCAATTGAAAATTTAGTCGATTGCTGAATTTATGTATGGGCCCAAATAAGGGGCATTTAGGCCGATATTACATCCATTTCCCCTATTTAGGATGTGTTACACGATGTTAAATTTCTACTGGTATTATCCAATGTATTTACGCCGGTACTTCTTCTTTTCTTTATTTAACGTCGGTCTCTAGTGCCAATCACCCACGGACATCGATTGCCATCTATTGACAGAAATCGAATGTGCAGGAAGGCTTCCACACCTGCGTAGGATATCGCACCCATTCAACACACATGGGCTGGGACAACGGCTTTACCAGACCAGAGATTTTTATGCCTCAGAAAAATCCCACCGACCTCGACTGGGATTAAACCCGGTATTTATTGCTGATGTTATTCGTCTAGCATATGTGCTCTCACCTCTTTTACCTTCATTGTCTGGGGAAGCGGAAGATCCGCACAAAAAGCAAATAACCGAATAACGAAATACAGGAGCTCTCCACCTCACAGCTCAGCTTCGGATCCGAATCATCGACCCAAATGATTCACTGGGAGCTGTTTATGATGACAGCTTTTGGACCCGTCCAGCTCTTCGGATCCGGATCTGAGCTGATGATCTAGAGCTGAAGTCGAGCATAGTGAGTGCAATTATGCTAGAGAATCAATAACAGCAATAAAATCTGTATGTAGACTGTATTGCATAGTATGATAAAAGGCGTAACATCTTGTGACACGATGTCAATCATATCATCACGTGTGATCACCTAGGTCTCTCGCAAACATTTTAAGTTTTACTCATATGTTGTTGGCACTTTTTGAGCGCATTGGTTTACGCGGTGGTTGTTGAGTGTTGTTGCATTAGTGGCGTTTTAAAAAGAAAAGTAGAGCCATGTTGTAAGCTACGGATTTACGGATTTATTGGATTAGACTAGTTTTAATCTTACATAGCTCTATTGGTTTAAGCGTCATCTTCTTATTCCTTTCCCGATTTTGAATTTGTATCAAAATGTCTATAATTTCAATGTGAGCTGAAGAGCGGTTCAAAAGAGTCGACTCCCCTTAGTGAGCTGGACGAATCTGATCCGCTCAGCCAAATGAGCTGTTTTACATACCTCTAGATACTTGTACTGCGTCATCTAAATGAACAAGTGCGAGCAGGATGGGTTCACATGAGTTCCACCTTGTAATTACTTTCAGTTACAATCCAGCTTTACACGTTATCGCTCAAATTGAAAAACACCACAAAACACTGTTGAACCACACACAAACAGACATAAACATTGAATATTTTTCAATATAAAACATTGTCGCTAAAACACTACCGTCATCTGTTGAGTATACTGTGATGGAAAGTACGCTGAACAGATTGTGGTATTGTGTAAACGTCAAACGCAAGGGAATTGACTATGCGTGCCACTGGTGGTGGTACTACCAACTAAAAACATTTTAATTGACCATTAAATGCGTGTTCGATAAACAACATGCGAGTGTTCTGACCGTCGGTGGTTGAACTTTTTTTATTAGTATTTCCAAAAAAAATGTTTGATTTTGAAAATTTATATTTCTTGCGTACATAATTTATTCATAAGAATGAACTAGTATCCCTTACCTCAGTCGGTAATGACGCAGCTACAAAGCAAGACTATGCTGGAAGTGGCTGGGTTCGATTCCCTGTCCAGTTTAGGATTTTTTCGGGTTGGAATATATCTCGACTTCCCTGGGTATAAAGTATGATTGTACTTGCCACACAATTGTACTAATGCAAAAATGGTATAGGCATCGAAAGCGGGGAAGTGCATCTATAGAACACTAAGTTGAGAGCACGCAATGAGCTAATATGCGATAAGCAATAAGCTTGAATGCGATTATGAAGAAGAATAAATATCGTTAAAAATAAAAAGTTTCACTAATTTACAAGATCTAATCGCAACTTAGTTGAGTAATCCCAGTTTATTCACAATTTTTCAACAATAATTACAGGTAATCCTTTCTATATTTCTTAAAATATCCTCTCCAAAGGCCCATTCGCTCTTTGCAAGGATTTCTTACCATTTCAGATCGCAGTTCAATATTCAATGCGTCAAGGTCGAAATTCACAGAATCTCTTTCTATGTGCCGAACGGGAGTCCATTTAAAAGGCAACAACTGATCATCTCTATCCGGCGTTGGATCACTGTACTTAGCAAAGTTTGTCCACATCCGCACCATTGTTTTCCTTATGTAGCACTCGTCACTCGTCTCTGCTAGTTGAGGTAGCATTTTAGACCTTGAATCAGTTGAACGTATAATTAAATGTTTGTGACAATGTTTTTTACCACTGCCTCTTACCTGAATAGATAGAAAATATCATCACCATGACTTGCTCCAGCAACATGACTTAAATTGAAAATTTTCTTAGAAAAACTCAGTCTTCCATCGTAGCAAAATCGATAGTGATATTGTTTTACATTAGGTTGGTATTTTGCTATCCACTCTGTGCTTACATTTGTGTTGGTGATAAAAATGTTATCCGATAAAACGTTGCACAATTCGTTGAGAGAGCTTTTGTCGATTTTCTTATTACCAAAGTAGAATTGCCGAATTTCTTTTCCAAGCGTCCGTTTTTCCAAATCTGGAAGGTTTCCCAAAAGTTGCGGAACAAGCCGATCTGATTCTTGATCGAATTCCTTCAAACGCTTCTGTATGAGCATTATTCCTAGAATCCCTTCACCATCAGTACATCCATTAATTAATGGCATCTTAATTGTGTCGAAAGATTTCAAAATTTTCTCTGGTGGTTCTGTGATGATGCTATCGTCAGAGAAGGCATCTTCTATTACGGGTCTGAAAAACATTTGTAGTGCTAGACGTTTCTCGTGTTCACTTCCCACTTCATTTTGATGCTTGATTAGCAAGTGCGCGGGTGCTTTGAGAAGGGTTTCTGAAAAGTTGATATTATTTTATAAGTGGACTTTTTCGATGAATATTTTATTTCATTTACTTACCCAGCACTTTGGAGTCATCATTTCCGTCGTATCCAAAATGTATTGCAAGTTTTCGCGCCTTGTCAGCTCCATCTTTTTGGAAGAACGATTCGGAGCATGCTACTCCACTTTGGCATATGACTTTGTGAAAATACTTTCTGGGAACAAATTATGTGTTTTGTTATTAACATTTTTGGTTTGTGTTGGGGACATCAGTTTGCCAGTTCCTAGGTTCTCAATATTGTTTCTTTAATCTGGATAATCGAACTAATTCAATGTTCTGTTTCGCACATATTTCTGTTTGTTCCAGAATCTTCAAACTTTCAACGAATGTATGTTTTTTTTAAAATAGAAGGCTATAAAACTTAAAGATCCAGTAAAAAAGGTTATCTGCCATTCCAGTTAATAAATTTTGGTATTTATGATCAGAGGTAAAAAATTAAACTACAACGTTCATTTTCATTCAATTTCAGTAAAACAACATTTTCCAAGGGTTAAGGAGCATTTTATCGACACAATATTACGTTTCAATTGCTGCCGATGTTAATTACTACACCAAGACCGTTTTCAAAACATTCAAATGCTATTCATGATTTTGTGAGACAAGAAAATAAAAAAAAAAGAAATCTGGAATTTTGAAGAACATTCATTGGATTTGATCAGAACTCACTGAAACTTGACATCCGTAAACAGAACATGGTATTCATAATATGGTATGCCCAAATGTAGACGTGTAGACCAATTGACTAATATTTTTTAATGTATTGTAGCCATCAGTGTAAAATATTTTAACAATTATAGAATCAATATTTTATGAGCAGTGTGCTCAACAAAAAGCTGTAATGCCTTCTACATGACGTGTGATGATTTCTATGTTTATGGATTTAAAATTTATGAGACAATTTTAGTTACCTTGAATTCGGTGACAAATAGTGCAAGTAAGCCGACATACTACCAGCACTTTCTCCAAAGACAGTCACATTGTCAGGATTCCCTCCAAAACTTACAATATTTTCTTTCACCCATTTGAAAACCAGTAACTAAAAAACAAATTTCATCATTTAACAATCATTAAATTGAATATTCATTCAACACTTACCTGATCTTTCAATCCTGCATTTCCCATTATTCCAGCACTAGGCAAACTGAGGAATCCCAATGGTCCAAGACGATAGTTCAACGTTACCACAACCACTCCTTCCTGAATCAAATAGGCAGGATCATATACGAAGCTATCTCCACTTCCGCCGATAAATCCTCCTCCATGGATCCACACCATAACGGGGTACTTGGGGTTCTTCTTCTCTTCAACAGGTAATCCTGGCGAGAATATGTTCATAAAGAGTCCTGTTTCTTTTCCTATGATAAATTTTCCCAGCGGTTGTATGCACATGCTTCGATCAACCAAACAGTCCACCACGGGTTTGTAAAACTTTTCAATCGGAACTGGTGGACGGAATCGAAGCTCCCCTACGGGTGGCTTGGCATAAGGGATCCCTTTGAAATAGTGATATGTCGATCCATTAGGTAACGTTGAGGTGACTCCACGAAGTTTTCCTTGACGAACTTCTACGATTGGTCGTTCTGGTGGTGGAAAAATCTTTATCATCTTATTTGAAACCATGAACTTTGTCAGTCCAACAAGCAACGTGAATATTGCTCGCATAAATTCGATCATCATTGTTATCTGAAATACCGAAGATAATCACGAAATTAATCACAGAAAAAAAAAACTTTAGAACTGCTTCCTCTTAACGTTTGATTAACACTGAATTTGACTTGTCTTGACGTAGGTACCTAAATGAAGGCCCAAGTAGTATTTTATTATGGTATGATAAGCAGCGAGCGGTGTTTGTTGTGATGGGTTGCGTGAATGAACTTTGATACGCATGCGCAATTTAATCGTTAACTATAGTTATATATGTACATATATGTACAGGTATTACGTTCACTAATAGTGTACGTAGTGTGTACTGCATACTGGCTAGCATCTCGCATTTACTTTAGTACCGTAATCCGGGGCCAGATTGATCACTTTTTATTGAGAATAATTACTCGTTTTTATTGTCTCTTAAATAAGGGTGTTCAAGCTTTTGTTGGTTCAATATGATACCAAATGAAACTCGTAGATCTACGATGTTTACGAACCGAAGTTAACAAAACAAATTTTCATTGTGGCAAAACGATACATATTTTGATACCAGTATTCCGAGGAACTTTTTTTTCCTTTATTCGGGACATACATAAATCCACTACGACCAGTTATTTGATCTATTGTGGTATACCCCATGTCCTTAGTTTAGTGCATGTCGTATTACTCCATCACTATTGAGCAAAGATGAAGTGTTCGGTTTTTGATAAAGTCCTCCTTTATTGCAAGGATCCGACTCTAATCCCACTCTTTATACCCTTCAGAGTGTTGGAACACCCTCCAATGGCACACTCCTTTGCCAGTAAAAAACAGATTCCTTGGCAACAACATCAAGCAATAACACCGATAATGGCCAAGCATCAGAATCCTAGTCCTAAACACTTCAAACTAGCGAGCAGTGCATAAATGATTAGGAATCACGTAGACAAAAAATAACTACCTAAATCTTTTTTTCCTTGTTTTAAAATCATCCTCGGTGGAAAAAGCCAAGTCTTGTCACTATCAACAATGCATAAAAAATACAAAGAACTAAGATTTTTTCCTTGATTTGTTTTCCGTCGATCTTGCTTTCCGTATTGAGTACCAATGCAACCGACGCCAGGGAGGCAGTCAGCACACCTGGACCCTACCTATCGACCCATCAACTCATGGAGCGGGGATAACGGCTTTACTTTCATTCGAAAGGAAGGCGTGATCAGAGATTTAATGCCTTAGAAAATCCCGGAGGCGCCGACTGGGACTGGGACTCACCACTACACCACCGGCACCGCTAAAAAAGGACTAAGATGTGTTCCTTTAATTACAAAACAATCCTGTTCCCCTTCTTTGAAGTAGTTCGGACTAGCCTTCGGTGGCAGATCTTAATGCCAGTAACGCACCTCGAAAAGATTATCTACCAGGTGTTAATGGGATTCCGTGGAACTTAAACCCTTAGCATTTTTTTTCTGATTTTGGTTATTTTTGTTAATTAAAATAAATCTGAAATGTAGGACAAAGCACGAATGACTTAAGAGTGTAAAGTGATCATAATAACAATAAAACCACAGACAAGCAGACATAACACATTGAATATTTCTTACTGTAAACCATCGTCGCTAAAACATTACCGCCATCTGTTGAGTACAATGTGTAACCGTCCGTCGAATTCGCTTGAAGAGAAGGTTTTTAAAATGCAGTAGCTTATGCGCCACTCTCGAGATCGAGAGACTACTGGTCGTGTTGAATTGTCCGACTATGCTCTAAAGAGCGAATATTGAGTCCTCAGGGGAGTCTTCGAACGGTTGATTCTTACGCCGACTGAGCATTCTAAAATTTAACAAAAAAAGTCACGTTTCCAGTCGGTCATACGCCGTTAAAGGTGTGAACGTACTAGGAGAACGAAAAGCTAGGTGAACGTAAACGAAAGTGAATCGAAGTGAACGGAAAGCTTTTACCTAGGGAATGGTCATAAATCAGAACAAAAGGTAATTTCATTTGAATGAACTTTAATTCATTTTAATTCATCTTTTCTAATTCGAGTTGAACTCTGTGTGTGTGGCGTGTAAATGTTTTAGTGTAATGGCCATTTTGATGACGTACCTGCGCAGGGTTTATGCTGACGTCACAGACAAACAGACGTAACTCTTTGAAAAACTTGTTCTTGAAAACATCGTATCTCAAAACATATAACCTCAGTAGCGACATCTCTCTGGCTTCTCGCGGAAAACAAGCTTGCTCGCTAACTCGTAAACAATATTGCATAAAAGTTCTATAGAATAGGGTAAATGTTGGCTTCGGCACCCATTGACTGTTTTCGGCAACCAAAATTTAAACGTTAATTTCACTATGTTTTCCCATCAACGCACTTCCCTGAATGTGTCCAAACGATTGTTTAGCCTTTCAGCTTCAATCTGATTATATTTGAACGATCGAGCAATCCAGTAATGCTACATTTTTCTTCAAATAAAGCATACGCACTACAAAATGAGGTTGATTTCGAGTTGCCGATAATAGAACAGCTGGTTAACACGCAGTTCTAATGGGATGGTTGCCGAAGTAAAAGAGACTGCCGACAATAGCCACACTCACCTGAGAAGTATGGAGCGTTGTAAAAACGCTTTCAAAACGTTTTGAAAAATTCTGTCGATTGGAATGGATAGAGAAGCAAGCAGCAGATGAATGTAAACAAACAGACACATCATATATGTGCGTGACGCTAAGAAAATGCTAGTAGAAGTGCAGACGCTGCTTAGATTGACGAGAATACGTAAATTCCCCTATATAGAAACGTCTAAGTTATCCGATGCCAGCGCTGCGGCGAGTAGTTCGCGGAACTGATAATATTCAAATCAACCGTTAAATGCATGAACGAAGATACACAATGAAGAGTTACGTCTGTTTGTCTGTGCTGACGTTGACTTCTCGGCAGGTACGGGAACGGTCGAGGGGTCCATCGAACCGCGGCGATGTTTTGCTGACAAGGTGGTGTAGGGTGGGTATTCACCAACCTCGGAGGGCTCGTATGCATTCAAAGAGGGCCGAACTAAAGGTGCGGAGGTGGCGCGGCTGGACGAAAGCTTTCGATTTCGAGGTTAGCAGGCCGTCCAGAGCAACCCAGAAATCCCGCAAGAAGGCCAACGCACCCCGCCGAGTGACCCTCGCGAACTACCACTACTCGATCACTACGGGACGAAATGAAACCTTCCCACAAGACCCCCAAGCACTCGGACGTTACCTTAAGATGATTGGAAACCGTTTAGTTACCGATCAAAGCGGTTCGAAACGAGCATACGAGCGATGGCGGTCAACACGTGAGTGTGTGGTGTCGTGACAGGAATCAAGCCTGTATATAAAGCGCTCGTTGGACGAACGCTGCTTGTCCAACGTGAATCACTAATTTTAGTACCAATAATTTAAAAGAAATCAATGTCTAAAATTACCTTTGTTATTTTCAATAAACTGCACACAGAGCAGGAAAATTGTGCCTTCTTGGCTTTGTTTCTACGAAACTTTAACTAAATAAAATTACAAAAAAAAGGATTAACCTTCACTTCACAACTTTACTAAATTTTTTAAGTCACACCTTAATTGAAACTAAAACGGAGATCACTGCGAAGAATTTTTCAATTAGACATCTGCTCACCAGCCGCTATGAACTTTAAGTGAACGAGAAGAATCCTAAATGCTACTAAAGACCTCGTTTTTTAGAGGAAATGACCAATGTCGACTGCTAATGACATTTGACATTTCTATCACATTCTAGAATGTTCGTTCGCCATCTTACATTTCGTTCGAAAAACAACATTATTCAATAACTTGGTAACCTAGTGTTGATATATATTTGAAGTTGCATTGGAAAAGAGGCATTGAAATTTAAATATTATACCATTTTATAGCAATTTATTAAATAAACGAACCATGTTATAAATTCAATATATTGCATTGGAGATGGATATACCTTTAATTGGAAACCTATCCTAAACAAATAAACCGCATTCATATGGAAAACTAATCGAAATAGATGAACAACGTTACAAATGTGGTGGGCACTACACTGAACAGATGGCGGTAGTGTTTAAATGTCAAACGCAAGTGAATTGACTATGCGCGCCACAGGTACTAGCAACTACGATACTTTTAAATTGTCCCTTAAATGCTTGTTCGATGAACAACTTTCGAGTGTTATGTCTGTTTGCCTGTGATAAAATATTCAATGTTAGTTATATCATGTTCGTATGACCACATTAGCCTCAGTTAGCTTAGGCAGTAATGGTTCGGTATTACCAAGCCGGAGCGGTTGGTTTGATTCTTGGCCCAGTCAAGGAAATCGTTCGGGTTGAAAATTTTATGGACTTCCCTGGGCATAGCTTGCCACACAATGTACAAATTCATGCATTAGTTGCATGGAAATCTGTCAATTGCTAATTGTGTAAGTGTATCTACAACACTAATAGCGAATTCGTTTATTATACAGCTCCAACCTAGATCGGTTATCAAGATTGGGTCTGCTTATTTTCTGATAAACGTTAGTTTGATCGTTTGATTTTAAAACCTACCACAGGTTGAGGTTCGCACTGATAAAAAGTTCAGTTTCGCACTGATAATAACAATATTCGCTATAAGTTGAGAGCCGTCAAACTGACGCATCACTTCAGATTGCAAAAAGCTCTCGTCGACGAGAGCTTTTTCCAATCTAAAGTGATGCCTCAAAGATTACCATTTTCAAATTTTTAATTACTCACTACACACTTAAAAATTATCGCCAACTTCGGTATTTTTTACCGAAATCTGAACAGCTGAACTGTTCGGTAATTAATGCAATTCAATTCAATTGCTTTTCAGCTACTTTGAAACTAAATCTCCACTAAAATGACAAGATTTGATCATTTAAACAAGGTTGAACATGTTTTTAAATTATTTTAAAATTCAATAGCCTTTAAAATGTAGGTCAAAGTTTCACCGAACGTTCAGCTGTTTTGATTTCGGTAAAGTTTACCGAACACGAAAACAAAATCTAGGTGTGTAGGTCACTTTCACCTAAAGGCCAGTGCCTTAATAAGACTTTTTGGAGTTGATTTCAGAAATGATAGTGCACTTCATACCGATGA